TGACAAAGTATTCAATTATTATTTACTAATTTAATGTGAGTAGACTGGAGCAGAAATGGGCACACTAAAAACTTGACTATAACTTGACGGGCAGAATTTTCATCCCGGATAGTAGAACAATCTTGTTTGTTCTTGCGTATTACGAGAGAGGCTGTGTATACATTGATAAGACTATAAATCCATCATTGATTTACATCTGTTGGTGTTTGTGTCTAAAAGGTCAAATATTGTGAACCAATAGGCTATTGCCTAGGCTTTTCATATCGGACAAAAGAATTTACTCAAAGTTGCAAAGAGTCAATTTGGAAGTGAGCAATGAAAGCTTACAGGAGCCGTGTCGGTTGGCAATCGAACAGATCCAGGATTTGCGGCGAATAGCTCCATTTCCATGGCCTCTATGCGTTGAGTTAGAGCAAGTTTCTGACGAATGGCTATTCGAAGAATGGAATTCAGAGTCCGTTTCTCTTCTTCTGCTTGCTAAGAAATCAAAGGAAGTAAAATTTTCCACACGACCAAATGGAACGAAAAAGTGTTTGAAGGCATCACTCAACTAATCTAGGTTTCCAATGTGCTTCAGTTTAAACGATAAAGAAATAGACATAATCTTTTAGCCTCGTCAATTGGAATCAGCTTGGAAAAGATAAAATTACTTACATTCAACTTCTGTTGTAGTTGATCCATTTGCTGAACAAATTCTTCGTGTTTCTCCGTGAACATTGCTCGAACAGACGTGTATGTAGATGCGTCCTCTTTCAACATTTTCAACTCTGCGCGCAAATTACGCAAGGTATCCGTGACGATAGCCTTCTCATTCTCGTATTTCTGTTTGAGATTGGCCAGTGCTGTCTCAGCTACTGACTTATTCTTTTTGAGGACAGAACGTAAAGATGTAATTTGCTCACGTTTCACGGTTAACTTGGCTCGAAGTTGAAGAATCTCTGAGTTGAGCTCTTCTACAGTGTCGTTTGTGAGCTTGGAAGTACCGTTAGAAGCCTAGAAATAAAAATAGGGGACAATTAGGTCTTGTATAATGAAAAGTGCTAATACGCAGTCATCAGCTCCCAAGCTGACAAGAGATCCCAATCTTGACAGTGACACGGGTGAAAATATAGAGTGGGGACGCGTGGAGAGTGAATAGAAAATCCAAGTGCTGCGTGATATTTAGAGACCTTCCAAAAGGACATAGTTTTCACACGTGCAAAAAAGGTATTTGATGGCGCTAACCTCCACTCTTCCTTCCACCTTATCCCAAATCGGAAACACCAAGATGCCATCACTTCAGTGCAGTAGCTTGCGTTCAAGGAGCGCGCGCACTTCCGTACTTGAAGCGGCCAATCAGAGTGGCGCAAGTGCCTATCGATTCCACCACGGCACAAACAGGAAGAAATGCATGTACTGAATGAAGAAATATGCCTCATCATCAACATATATGTCGCCCTCAACGTTGGTGGGGTAGAATATAATGACCGCCCTACCCTCTCATTAGTCCCCCAAATCATAAGGACCAGCGTTGGGGGAAAAATCGGGCCAAGGAGTATGGAAATTTGACTGGCTAACGCAACGTTTCAAATATTGGGGTATTCTGGTTACTTAAAATGAATGACATCGCCGGAAAAGAGGCCGGCAATGCCAATCCTGTTGGACGAGGAAGAGGCCTCTCGAGATGCTTTGGCTTCTTGCAATTTGGAACAATCTTAGTTTGAAGAAAACCCGCGTAAACACTTAAATGTATGGTTCGTATAATTAATGATCTCAACAGTAGATATATACCATTTCAAGGGCCACATTGCTGCTTTAACATGCTCGATAAGCTACGTTGGAAAGAGGTTTAATGCATTCAATTTTAATTTTAATTTCAGACTGGGCATAACTGACCAACATTAACCCATTCCCCCAACCCCCACTCCAAATTGCTGACTAAGAGGTCATTTGGCAGAATACACGAATGACCTAAAATGGTAAGGCAAAAACCAAAGAAACTGACAACAAACGGATTAGCCGTAAGACATTAAGAACAGCCTACATGATAATCCTCACTGAAAGCGTTTTCATATTTGTCTCCTTAATTGGAGTTACATTAGCTTGTCTTACACAACCAATTACAACATCACCTCAATGAACAAAGGGGTGTGTGTGTGTGTGTGTGTTTGTGTGGGATCTAACTAAAGCAACGAATGATGTAAACCAGCGAACGTTGGGGAAATATGCTCAGGCAATATCTACCAACAGTACTCACTGCAAACACGTTAACAAGGCAGGATATAAAATAGAAGCTAAGCCAATGGGCGCACTTTAAGGTGAACAGACATTCAAGTTGTAACTCTCAAATAATATGCCAAAAGGTGCCTTCAATTCTGAGACTGCCAAAGCAAACTGCTTCTTCTTCTCACTTTATGCAAATATTCCATAGAGTACCAACTTCTTTCGCATTATATATGCAAAAAACAGGTGCAGAGGAAAGCAAAGAGCCTGGCTACAAATTAATTATTAATCAATTCAGGAGTTGGATTAACCAACTAAATGAACGTAACCAAAAATAGTTAGAATAAAACAGAACTCGTATGAAACAACCTATTCGAAAGTTTTGAACATAAGCAAACCAACTTTCAGTAAAATCTGCGTATTTAAAAATGCCAGAAATATGCGAAAGTTTAGGACTACGGAGCCTCAGTTACCTTCATCCCCAAATGGTCAAAAATTGAAAGAGCGTCGTTTATATTTGTGAAGTTTTAATTGATTGCATCAATACGACAAGTAAATCACGACGTGGATAAATGTGGAGATAAGTAAGCGGATTAGATGGACAAAAAGATTATTTGAACAACAATGATCGGAGGAGAGTTAAAATGTCACTTACGTTTTGGGCCATCCGTGCGTTCTTTTCAGCAAACAACTGAACAGCGTGGCGAAGGTGACCAATAACAGCAGTTTGATCCTCGACCTGTTTCTTCAACATCTCAGGGGTAACTGGTTCTGTTGTGCCGCCATCACCGACAGCAGATGAAGCATCCACGGTAGGATCTGAAGCGGTGGAATCGTCTGTCACAGCTGTGCCATTGTTGGTATCCAAGGTGATCGAGGAACGTGCAGCCAAATCACAAATCTGAAAAGAACCAAAAGTGAAATTGACACCAAAAAATGTTAGCATATCCATTAGAGCTAAATAGTAATTTACAGCATCAGCCTCTAGACTGGTCACTTCTTCGATTAACTCACTTTTTTAATGTAGATTTAGCGTTTATCGATCGAAAGAAAAATGGAATAATTCTCAATTCAAGTTAAAGCCGAAATAACAGTAGATAAAAAAGCTTTTCGATTCTAACATATGAGCAAATAATTGCCGAAAATTCCCCCCAAAATGTATTGCGACTGCTTACTGCAGTTATTGATCCACTCGTAGGGCAGAGACACTTTGAGTGTTGAAATAGATAATGAGAAAAGAATTCCAATTTAAAGTAGGAAAGAAACTGAATCACTTGGAAAGAAAAATTGACTTTACCAATTTACGTTCTAAGTTAATAACCTGAGGGGAGACTGGAGGAAATGAGGAAATGACACTGATGATTTCAATTAGAGGGAGATGGGGGGAGGGAGAGGCAAAAAAATGAGGTCAAACGAATTAACCAAATGAAGACATGGCACCGTCTTTCAAGGCAAAGCGGTATGGTAAATACCTATCGGATGATAGATTTTCGCACACATTTTGAATTTTCTTAAATTGAAAGCTTGGCAATTTAAAATGCTATCGTGGAAAATGCATTCAAGTTATAAAGTATGCTTAAATAAAAAATGTGGAAAATGTTTATTGGGACAGAATTCTCCGTATCGACCATTTACTGAATTCGAAATCTTAGCGTCGGGAAAAAATATATATATTACATTTATTTCGTGACAAGTAGTACATTCAGAGAGCAAAAATTACTTGCCAATAGGAGTAAAGCAAGAACACGTCTATGAAGGCGAGAATATATATTTTTTTCTAGAAATCGTACAAGTGAAAGAAAGGATTTCATTCATTGAAACAAAGGCCATAAGCCTCGTGAAAGATTTTGACACTAGGCTAGACTGAATATAAACTAGAGAAAATAGAATATGGGCTTACTTCAGACAAATTCTCTTGACCCGATGAAAGAACAGTGTAATGTACTGAGGACTGAGCGCGCGCGTGTGTGCGTGAGATTTATAATACAAAGTCCCCCCCCCCCCCACCAACTTCTATTCACTCCTTTCTACAGGACAAATAGTTACTCTGGCCTCATAACAATCTCTCTATATTCCTTATACAGGGGTGTGAGATAGACTTACCTCCACGTGGTGCACCATGGGCAACGTATTCTCATCCCACTACATGTCATATTCGACCACTTTCACAGTGCTCATCTTACCTTTTCTCTGCCTTTGTGTCTGTTTGTCTCTTTTACATCTTTGAATCACTCTTCTATTCCCCCTCTCCACTTTTTCTCACTTTGATGTTCTTCTCCTCTGTGAAACTTGAAGTCAGCTAAAGGGCTAATGATAAGTATCATAAAGCTTTGATACCTATATAGTTTTTTTTAAAGTATAGACAAACTGAATACTGCTATGTCGTGTTCTCCGTCTCTGACACTGTGAAGCAGGAAGCAGGTCGTGACTAGATCACATTAAATTCGGACAAGGTGAAATCGTCTAAGCAGGCGCCAAAAGCTATATTGAGGTTAATAGAAGCCTTAGTGAAGGCAATGAGGCCAAATTCTGGGTGCTTGGAAGTAGCTTACCCAATGGACTCAAAGAAGCGGGTTCGTACTTCTAATAGCGACGGAAACTCAATGACTGTTATATTAATAGAAAAGCCATAAACACAATGGCAATATTAGATAATGTAGATTACTTTAACGAAAAACAGTTGTTGGAATGATATTTCTAGCGGTGTAGATATTTTATACAATTATAACCATAAAATATAATCAAATTGATAAGGACTACTTGGTAAAATTTAATTAAAATGAATCTAACAACTAAAGGCTGTTTCAGAAAAGTGTATTTCTCGGATTCAAAATACAATTTATAAGACTAAATTTATCAGGGACAATTAGGAAAAGTAATTCGACAGTTGACGCTAATGATTTGATGTAATTTAAGTAAAAATAGTAAAAAGGGAAAAGTGGCGGGAGATGTAACGCTGCCATCTTATTGGTTGAAGGCGTCATGCTCAGGGAAATCAAGAGCGAAATGAATTACTGAAGACGAAACAAAGTTCGGTGAGGGGAGGGGGTTCTTGAAAGCCTATCAGCCTCAATGTTCGCAAAACACGCTAGATGTAAGTCAACATTTAAGTTATAACAGAAAGAGAAAGAAATGAGAACGGCATCATTTTTGAGAAAGTCATCATAATTGAATTGGTAGGAGTTAAAGCTCCATTGGAGGAATTTATTAGTCGCTTTAAGTAAAATCTTATATGCGTTACTTTAAAGCAAAATTAGCCCTTATAGCAGATAAAATGTAGCATCATTTGCTACTCCTACAAAACGAATACAACTGAAACACTAAACAAAATTACTTTAAATTGGTCGATTGGGGGTTCAAGCAACAATAGGAGAATTCAAAAGGAATTAGATTGAAAGAAAGAAAGGAGAATCATCAGGGTAAAATCCCCACCACTGAGTTAATAAAATTGATCGACTGACCAATAACTGAACAATTATGCGATTTCTCGGCAAATCACAATGATACGATTTCACGTAATAGACAACAGGGGGGGGGGGAAGAAACATGTCAACTTAGGGGATACGGTTATAGTCTAAACGGCAGTAATTCATTGGTCAGCGCGCAAGTGACAATCAGCACACATCTATTGTGTGTGGTTGGCCAGCTGCAGTACTTACTTGTTGTTGGAGGGTAAGCGAGACCAGTAGAATGGGATTCTCTATTCAGAGGCACAAGTGATTCCAAACCCTTTATTTCCAACGACTCAGCTAGAAGGCTTGTGAATCGTAACTTTTCCCGATCCATATAAAGTGCCTTCTGTGAGATTTACAATTAAAATTAGCGCGAAGACCCCATTAATTCAAAGGAGAAAGAACTAATTTTATCAACCAAACCGAATTTTCACTAATCAACTAAAAACATAACTTGAAAGGGTGAATCTCGTGAGAAATGAATGGCATTGAATGCCAAATGAAAGTTCGCTACAGGATCGACAAATGAAACACTAGATTAGATCAAATTACACAGAAGACACAAACGCACTGAGATTTAACTGAGTTCAGAATAGAAAGAATTCGTGCACAGTATAAATTGAAGGTTACAATTGCTTCACAACAAAAGCAGTTTGCAAGATGGACAAATTCTAAAACGGATAGGCCAATACTATGCTAGTGGGGATTGAGCAATATTCTCAACTTATTGACTAAGAAAATTGTCAAAAGCCTTAGATTTGAGCCCTATTACTATGTATCGCATCCCTAGTGCAGGCCGTCAATAAGAGAATAGATGGCTAGACACATTTTTGATGTTAATCTAGCAGACCATATTGTCGGCCTTTCTAATGGACAAGCACATTCACCCTTATTTCTACCGTTTCACACATTGGAAACAGTCAAGTTCGATTAAGTGTCCTGTGATATCTCTGTGCTAAGCGAATTTCGAGAGGTGCAGACCCACACCATGGACATATTTATTTACCCTTCTGACTTCTAATTTAGCA